GACAAATCTACAGGCATAATCAGGACGAGTCTGAGATATAAGGTTTCTGGTTGTTTTAATTGATATTGAAAATGAAAGGCCTTCTGCATATGGGCAGCCTAGAGGTCAAAGCGTTCGTTCGTCACGCCGCAGATCCAGATTGCATCCCCAGCAGGTATAACATTAGTCTAGTATAACATGTGAAGCCGAATTCCTGGTACCATCCCCCATGATGCTGCTGAATATATACTGGAATATTGTTTTTGTATTGCTGAAAGTGGCAGCGTAAAATACGTCTCACTCACTTCCTGATACACCTCTTTAGGTGAGGATGTATTTTTAGGGATGTTTTAATATGTAGCATACTTTCAAGAATATGGGAGCGATGGGGTAGCCTAGTGGTTAAAGCGTGCGCTCATAACACTGAACACGGGTTCGGTTCCCCACATGGGTACAATGTGTGAAGCCCATCGCTGGTGTCCCCCACCGGAATATTGCTGGAATATTGCTAAAAGTGGCGTAAAACCAAAAACACTCACTCACTATAAAATATGTTTAAGCATACGATGAATGCTGACTAAGCCAGGACAGTTCAGTTCATGAATAAATTATATCTGACTTAAAATATTTCAATTGTAAATTAAAAGTGATTAAAGCCGAGAGCTATAGTTTATTTTGATTCTCGGTTTACATGCTAACGTTACTCCGTGGCATATCTCAGTTTAAGTATAATATCTGCAACTGATGTTATTGGTCATCCTATCTTCTCTGTCCAGATATCATACAACCCTGTCAGGATGGGGTTAAGTGATTTTCAATATATGGCTGTGATAACCTCTATAAAATCAATGCATCGTCTACTGAGGCATTCTGTCTGCTTCTTGAAACTGGCGTCCGCGCTAGCTACGTCTGACAATAGTCAGAGGAGTACAATAGCCTATCTGAGATCTCAGAGAGAAAGTATGGCGGATTTCGTTCCGGTGTGAATGGTCCTTTGAGACGAGAGGCGAAAAGGTCATTCTTGGACACCGTATCATAGCAAAAGACATCCGGCCAAGCTTTCAAAGATGGTTAGCACGAGAATGGATTTCGCATTAAGGACTGTATAAAGAATCCCCTTGCGAAAAGAAACAAATTGCAACTCTCGTTAATGTCCTTTGTATCTAAACATTCTATCACTGTAGACAGACATCCAAATGGAACCACAAGTCGATTTCATTTTCTATAAAGTATAAATGAATTATGTTTAACTCACTGGAAGCTAGAAACTCACTGACAAAGACGACAGTGGTATTTCAGAACTCAAATCAGTTTCATATAAGCTTCATGTTACAATAAACTGTTCGACTGGTCTGGCTTTTGTAATGCGCGATCGCCAGTACACACAGAATATCAAGCAGTCGTGTTAGACGTAGTACATATAGCAGAAACCGTCTATAAGACAGGAGGAAAGCATAACTAAAAATATCGCTCCCAGTTTCAAACCCGAACTTCGAAACTAATTTTACACATGTTCCATAAAACCTCCCGTGCTGGATATAAGAACACACTTTATCTCCCTATAACAGAAGATGAGTCAGTGTATATACACACAAGAGATCCCTTGTTATTTGACATGAGCAAAATAGTACCACCGTCAGAGAATGTTTATATACGAGCAGCAGAGCTGACAAGACGGGAACTTCGGGGCATATTGCTGTTATGATTAATAAGTATCTACTTGCACCCAGTGAGATCCCCTCAGCGTAAAGCATGCAACAAATGTTCTGACTGAAGAGATGGGTTGTGTGGGGCCCGCTCGGGTTAACTACCTCGTGTCATGTGCTGTCATAACGGCCTGAGCTGACAGATATCATTATATATGATTGAGGCATTATAAACAGAACTTGTGTTTAGGTACATCCGATACTGTTGGGAGTAGTTGGATGCTACTGGCAAATGATTGTGTAAATGAAAGGTGACACGACCATGATCTACTTCTCGTGGTGATGATGTTAGTGACGATAGCTAGTAACGATGCTTCAATTTCTGCTGTTACTACGGATGTTAATAACTTAATGTTGCTGATGTTGTTATTGGTGCTGCTGATTTTACAGGTGATACTGATTATTAATAATACTGTGGGTACTGTCACAGCTCTAGTAGATGAATTACTACTTTTAATGTATACATAATTCTAATGTCATAGCAATGTACCGATATTGTTGTTGCTACTACTACTACTACTACTACTACTACTACTACTACAACTACTACTACTGCTGCTGCTGCTGGGACGGTGGGATTTAAAACGTCCGCTCGTCACGCCGAAGATCCGGGTTCGATTCCCCACATGGGTACATTGTGTGAAGTTCATTTCTGGTGGTCCCCGCCGTGATATTGCTGGAATATTTCTACACGCGGCGTAAAACTAAACTCACTCACCACTACTCCTACATCTACTATCGCATGTGCTGCTACTAAACACATTACAGCCTCCACTGTCGTAATCATCAAGGCTTCGACTTTCCACAACACTAGCCACAACCAGCTCCAACATCAGCAACTACCATCGGCACCACCACGACAACATTATCCGAACAGGGGTCAAGCCGGGTGAACAGAATGTAATGTCACACGACAGGAAACGCCTAATTTCCCATACATAATTGTACACCAACTGTACATCAAGCAACCTTGATATTTCTCCACTACGTCTTCCTGACTTATAGCAATAACAGCTAAAAGAAAATCTATATAAATTCCACAATGCGAAAACCCAAACGGATTTCAGCTTCAGTCTGGCTATGGACAGACCAGCTGTGTTGAAATAACTCCCCAAATAGGTTCAGTACTCGTGATGCTTCAGGAGATACCAGGGGAGGGGTGGGGAGGAGGGGAGGGAGAAACACAAGCCTGTTCCCCATTCCGGGGATACGGGGTAAGGTTTGACCTCTAAAATGTCAAAGTGGTCGGCCTACGCGTCCGGTCACATCTGGAAATCAGCCGCTTCCAACTTCAACCCGTTATAAACAATGCGTAACTTACGATGTGAAAGCGGCTCGCTGCATTGGCTCCGGGTTCACGATATAAATAAATGAACACCAGGCGGACATAAGCCCACATTGGGTTAACACATTGTGCTCGGTAACTTTTAATCCGATTGTGTCGTCGGTGGAAAAATACGAAAATAATAAAGACCCTAGTGGATACTATTGTAGTCAGGAGAGAGAGGATGCCCCGCCCTTGAAACATTTCCTCAACTTCCATGCTACCGTATGTACCCTCATGGTGGTGATGCTAAATATTCAAGAATGTGTCATTTCATACACGCTCGACCCGGTGGGGTAGCCTAATGCTTAAAGCGTCCGCTCGTCACGCTGAAAACCAGGGTTCGATTACCCACATGGGTACAATGTGCTGCCCCATTTCTGGTGTCCCCCAGATTCCCTCTGATATTGCTGGAATAGTGTTACAAGCGGCGTAAAACCATACTCACTCACTACTGGAATAGTGTTACAAGCGGCGTAAAACCATACTCACTCACTCATACACGACTCAAAAAGTACCTTTTCTTTTTCATATTTCAATAAAACATTGTCTATGCTTAATACAATTTCACAATTTTTTTCAAATACTTGAAACATGTAGGTTGTTTTTCATGTTATTTTGTTGCAACTACCTTGACATAACCAGTGAAATAAGACGTGATTTCCAGTTTAACTCACTGATCATACTTTGAAATAAAGAATTTTTTAAATGAATATAATATAGAAGAAAATGTCCACAATAAAGATTGGAGTTGGTTGATAAATAGGATCCATAAAAACTAAAAACATAGACATGACATAAGATTTAAGTCGGCTGTATAACTTGGAACCATCAAAATAGACAAGACATGGGTATTAGCTATTACAGTCATGTACATTGACAGGAGAATGTAATAAGGAACCTTTCCCATTCTGAAGGCCTGGAGCAGTGTCCTGCTTTCCTCTGACCTATATTCATCACATTTCTTCAACATCATTGACAGCAAATAGGCGCTAACAAGACGATTGAAGAAACAAGTAACGCGAAAGAACATCTACAATGAGACAATCAGATGCTACTCTACCAACCTCGTTATCCCGTCAGTCCCATGTGATTGTGTTGGGGTCAAGAGTGGAAACAGAGGGATGGAAGTGATGAACGCTGTCAGATGGTCAGATGCTGGACATGTGGAACAGACTGACCACCTGGGGCGTCTGACCAGGCTTGTAACGTAATGACAACACGATAATTGCTACATCACGGCATCTGTTTCAGGGGAGATGTATGTACTAGCTAATTGGTCGAGTAGTTCTGATGCTTCGAGGTATAAGAAACAAGGCTAATGCCAATAATGAGTGGCTGATTTTGATAACTGTTCTTAATCGCTGAAATATGTCACGCATCCAAAACTATTTGTAGCATTGCAAAGGTTAGATCAGCATTTGATATTTCCATATTTTTTTAGTTGTTAAACTTGATGATGCAGTTGATCACCGGTCTATAGAAAGGCAGTGCAAATGAAATACACGACTTGTGACCTTTTAGGGTCATGAAAATGATTCCTTGTAAATATAACGTTTTAAACATTCACGTACATTAAAAGTATTACACTATATGAAAAAAACATGTTTAGCGACGCGTGCAATATGTGATGTTAAGCAATACAGACACGAAGTATGTTGGATAGATCCCAGTGAAATGTCAATAAATATCCTTAAATTGGTTAACAGCAAAATGCATATCATCAATTAGGTTTTCCAGGTCTCCCAATGCGTGACATGAACACTGCTTGTTCAACACTTCCAGGATTCTTACACTATGCTAAATTCAAGCTATTCAGTTCTGAAGAAATAATTTGATTTTTATTAAAAGATATCAGTCCTTATACATTGACTTATTAAATTCTGCAAACTGCAAAGAAATCCCCACAATAATCTATCTGAAGTGTGTGAAGTTTGAAAAATACCATACATCTCAACGAACGGGCAACTGAGAGTTCGGAAGGCACTTACCACATCAGCGTATTCCACAGCAATGCCTAACAACTCAACACTGCACGGAGCTTCAACAGAGAGTAGTGACTGGTCTCTGCAGCTGGCCTCTCGGAGGTACTCCCAAATGATACTGTATCTATTTTCGGTCAGGGTTGATCATTTTAAAGCAAACTTTCATATTCTCCAATCATTTCCTGTCTGACTCCGACGCCTGGTATTTATCACTCCTTCGCGTCGAGATTTAACAATTGACTATGGGAACATACACACAATACGTTATTCATATTCAGGGCGTAACGACATAATCATATGTAATCGGAACATGTGTAATTGCACGTAACATTTTCCATCTGGCTCATTTACACCACGTGACTCAAGTTATATAATTGATTAAATGTAATGTATCTCTTTGCAAAACAGATATATTGTGATATTATATTAATTAATCCCATGGTATAATGATGTTTCATTGACAACTGGTCAAGTATCTATTTCCTCTTATTCTTTCCTTTTCCCCTGGGGATGTATCCCAGAATTCCATTTCATACAAGTCAGACAAGGTTACCGGTATCCGGTTTTCAACATCAAATGGTTTACACTAGGACCAACAACGAAGCATGTGTATAGTATAGTTCAAACATCAGTCTGCTAGTTAATCAACACACTCATATCATACATAGAACACATGATAGAAGATCTTTCTACTTTCACTTTTTCTAACACAATGAGATTAAACGTTACGGAATTGTATTTGCTTAATGGTAGAGATAACACTTAAGTTGTGTTGAAAATCAATTGAATAAATACTCTGATGGCGGAGAATTGATTCCTCAGAACTGATTTAATTTTTTAAAGCAAATATTGATCCCTTTAATGTGTTAGGTGAGAAACACATTTACAGTTTGTAAATCACAAATATCCACCACTTATAAGCTAAACTGGAGATATTTAAAACTTGAGCTTTCGATATACAGCTTCTGTTACTTGGTCTCAGTTGATGCACATATTGGTGTCTGGAAATGTTACATAATATAGAAATGACACACGTTTATTTATGACATGTGTGACAGCTTAGATGGCATGGGCTTCATGGGGACTTGTAAAGCAATTATAATGGATTCAAGGTATAAATTGTCACAAATCCTTCTTTGGTTCCCTTTATACCGCCAGGCAGGGGAACAACAAGTTTCATCTTTAAATGTATTTTGGTACGCCCGCGAACAACCGACCTTCAGCTCTCCGAGAATAGGGGACCACGGAGCGGGTACCATCTAACATGGCATAGCAATGGTACACATGTGTCTCTATGACAAGTTTCATCATCTAAGGTATTTTGGTATGACAGGGGCTTGAACAACCGACCTTTCGCTCTCCGAGAAGATGGTCTATCTAAGACCACGGAGCAGGTCCCATCTATCAGGGCATAGCAATGGTACACATGTGTGTCCATGACAAGTTATGTTCATCAGGAATGAACTGGGAACTATATCCCATTTTAGTTTCCCGACAATGTTCCAGACCGTCAACCACAAATTAAAAACAGAAATTAATAACGGACGTATAACCGTAAAACCATACTCTTTACAGATTCCGTCCATTCTTCCCTAGGAAGAATAGAACTCGACTTATTATCTTTTCTGGCACAAACCATTTGCGTTATTTACCTAAGGAAGAAATTCCCTGAAACAATATGATAATGTTATGACTATGCCCTGTGCCGCCCTGCTGTGTCACGATGACGTCACAAACAACGCCCCCTGGTGGGACCGCATAAAACTAGGCGTGGCTGAGAACGTATGTTCCCCATCACAATCAAGAAATAAATCTACCCCCGCAGCGCAACAGAACCTGCGACAAAACCTAGCCCATTAATCCTTTCTCTTGTTCGACCTTCCATGCCCTATTTAAAGAATCATTTAGTCATGTTGCCTATGTCGGTTAATTTTAGAGCACGTGACCTACTTAACTTCCGGTGACATGCATTGGGTGCTAATAAGCGGAATTGGAATTATGATAATGATCTCCGCAAGGAAATGACCGAATGTGAATGGAATGGACATTTGCTGACCACTGGAAGGTTAAAGAGATAATTATACTGAAAGGCTAATAAATGCAGCTGAAATTGCCTCAAATGTTTGTTAGTACATGTGAAATACGTGTCTTCTGTGTGTGTTCAGACAAATATAATTACAAACGCTGTCATCGTCGAAACTGTCATTTAAAATTGAATTATTCTATTACATTGACATCATGACGTGAGTCCTGTCAAAGTGGTCGATACATTTCATACATCATGTATATTTCTGTACAGTCATAAAACTAATATAGTTTTATAATTTGTGACAGCAAAGATACATGCGTACACACAAAGATGAGCCTTATATATAGTTATTACAAACATAGTTATGACGTCATGTTCCTTTTCACCATTGTTATCATTAAATATCTTTAGCTTTGTTAAATCTTCTCCACTCAAAAATTGAACCAATATGTCTAGCTTTTTTGTTGGAGTTACCGTGATCATTTATTGACAAGTAAAGGAATCATTTGCCTGCATTTTCTTAATATCTAAAAGTAATGACACAGTGCAGTTTGTGTGTTTTTCTCTCTTTAAATTTCAACGTGGACATTCTAACAGCAAACCATCTTCATCTATTATTTTTTCTCATTGAACATATTATATGAAGTTTCAAATGACACAAACTGAGATAATGAAATGTACGATGCTTATCCGACTGAATTACAGGACCGTAACACATGAGCAAAACACAAAAACCAACCACACAGAAAGAATATCGTTTACACGAACTGCTTCTGATGAATGCGGATGGATTAAAAGAATATGTGACTGTTGCCCTCTGTCGAACTATATCTGTGAACTAGTCGTTGAACGAATATGTGTGTACTTGTATAACATGCGACTCTCTGGCATATGTTGTGTGTCAGGACTCTCGAGCTTAGCTTAGCACAGCATTTCTGATAGGCTTACTGAGTGACCCCATTTCAGAAACCCATTTCTACTTAAATAGAGTGCCTACATAAATGTGTTATTGGTGTGTGTGACCCTGTTCTGCCACGCTATTCTTCCATTCTCAACAGTTTGTATTACTCCATAAACTCGGTGCACTACAAACCGCCACCATGGATTTAAAATTTAAAAGAAAATGGCGTTTCGATAAAGAAAAGTTATCACGTGATTATCAATTGCTGAAAAAAGGTTTCAAGAACAAAATCACGTGTTCTAAAAATCGACTGTTCTCGATCCATCCAGACCACTCCTATAGGCTAACGCTATAATATATATAATTTGGATAGTAACAAATGAACCCATTTAAATTGAAAGGGAGCCCTAGTAAGATGGGAGATTCAGACCTGAACCTATTTGGGGAATCTAGACTTGCTTCATTTAGGGCTTAAGCATTGCAGGGAGGGCTGTGCAGTAGGGTAAAATAATGTGGTTCTGGGACTGTGAGACAGTCTCACTAATACTACAGCTGCTATAATTGTTGCAATACAGATGGCTATATTTTTTAATAATCTAGATTGATGTTGATTTCATAAAATAATGTATTCCATTCATAGTGCGGCGCCACTAATGGTATATACAAAACAACAACAAACCTAATGAAAAGTCCATCTACACAACACGATTCTTGCCACTATAATTCAGACCAATCCCTGTTGGTGCCAGTAACACAACAGCCCTATCTGTCTGATGAGTTTATGGTATCGGCAGAAAAACATGTGACTCGGGGAAGGGGATCGAGATGCGCTGTACAGTGACTACCTCTGATCACAAAGTCCCCCAGACCACCCCCACCACCAGGCGTGATGACACCCCGGAGACAAGACACCAAAGCCAGCACAGAGAAGGCAGCGCGATGAAATCAGTAACCATACTTGTGAAATCCAATACCGAATACAGTCACTGTGCATTAGTATTTCACAAAAGGTCGTGGAAAATGAATTTGACGTGTATCCAAAAACATTAATATCACAACTTGAGTGGGCGAATGAAACGAAATACAGATCGCTAGTATTGACGTATTGTTCTACGTTATTCCATAAAGTTAGCCTAGCTATGTAATTGTTCTAGAGAACTTAAGAAAAAGTCATTCTTTGATTTCGATTGCGAAAAAACACCAGCGGACACAGATTAGGAATAGGGGCCGTATATCTTTCACGATTACTATTGTGAGCTACCCCCAAGCTTCCCATAGAACACCCATGATACCCAACTGCTCCAACTATTTCTCAAATCGCTGGATCAGCCCCCGAATGAAGATTGTAAAAAGATCACCTTCATGATGAAAGTGACACGAAAACGTTATATACAACTGCACATCTCTATCTGAAATCGTCACGTTATTCATTCGACTAACAGATGATGGAACCGACATCAAGACTGGACCAAAGATGAAAAGAGGATGAGACATTTACCGTTCGCCATGGCTTATTCTTCTTACTCAAGATTAACGTAAAGCCTGTCTGGAGAGAACAGAGCCATGGACGATAATCCTCATACTGAAATAGACATGCAACAAATTGCTTTTATGCCACTCAGTGGGTGGGCGAGAGACGAAATGAACTCGACATACATCACATCGTGGTCAATGATACTAACCGCGAGACTGTGCAATTGACAAACGGCCGACAAAACCACAATTCATGATTGTTGGGAATCAATTGTGAAACGTTTTACCGAGTCATATCGCAGATGTTTATTTATAAGTTTACTTAACGTGATGGGAATTGCTTCATAAAGGAATAACAGGATATGTATTCAAAGCGGTGGAGGATGTAATAGTTTGTAATAGACGTAAATGCTCATTTTAAAAATAATGGTATATTTCATATGCATTCGGTACAATATTAAGTATTGACCGCAACGTTACACGATCAGATGGACACCATAAACTCTCCAGTTCCAGGAATTAACTAGCACGACCCGTTGTCCTAACAACAGACGTTTCCAGTATACGGCCTGTTATATAACCACGACCGCATTTAGATACATTGCAGTAGTCCTATACTCTCTTTCAACAGCTGCAATAAGATGGCGAGCAAAACGCTCCAAATAGCTTCCTAATATTCGAGAAGGTCACAGGAGCGACACGGATACCATGTTCTAAACCCCAACCATCTTGGGTTTCAGTTTACATCGGGTCGACTCACGATCATATCATACGGCTAAAAAACATTGATACACAGCGTTTTCAAAGCATAAATTATTCC